AGCCACTGCATACAGAACGTGTGACTGTTGTGTGTGCAATATCCAGAATCGGAATTATTGACTCATGGCTCTTTGAAGAGAACAAAAGAGCAATTACGGTCAATTCTGAACGTTATGTCAGCATGACTGTGAATTTTTTTCTGCCCAAACTTAAGAAATGAATGTAGGGGAATTGTGGTTTCAACAGGATGGTGCCACGGCTCACACGGCAAGAAAGTCAATGGATATCTGGCATGAAAACTTCCCCGAACTGCTCATCTCTCTTAGAGGCGATCTTCAGTGGCCAGCATGATCTAGCCCCATGTGATTTTTCCCTGCGGGGTTATCTAAAATCATTGGTGTACACGGATCGTCCAAAGACCCTCGGTCATCTCAAAAACAATATTCGTGCTACATAAGCACAGATATGCTGGAAAAAGCGGTCARCAATTGACGAGAACGGTGGCTACCTTCGAGATGTCGTTTTTAGAACCAAATAAAATAAAACTTTAAATGTACCCCTATACACAGAACAAATAATGAAATCAATATTTCCAATACTTTTTGTGTTCTGATTTTTTAAAATAAGGAACTAACCACGCCCCACCCTGTATTATAAAATAAAACGTTTAGACATTCACGTCATTTCACAACTTGTAAATGGAAAACTTATTCTGAAATAAAATAGATTGTAAAAAAATCAAACGAGAATACGGGAAAATTATATTGTAAGCATTGGCRTTAGCCTAAAGCTTGCCARAAACCTTTATCGTAATATCACCACTAGAAAGCGCCAATATCGCCCAAATCGTCTTTCCTTTTGAAATTTACAAAATCACCCAAAAAGCTGTTATGAAGTTTCTAAAATCGAACATTATGCAGTTATCATAATATCACATCCAAAGATAATAGATTATTTTTATATTATAATCAAATATTAGAAAATTCCGATTCTATTATTATAATATTCTATATGTAACAGTAGGTTGATCCAAATCCTATATTTTCGAATCAACAAATTTGTTTTACAAATTATGTATTATTATTCTCAAGAGCCACCAAAATGTCTTGACCCATTCTATTTCGCATATTGGTAGCATTCATTATGCTGAAAATTCGTTCACCAGTTGCATTTGAAATTAGCATAGTTAAAGTTCTAGTAGCAAATTCACTCAATTCTATTGTAGTGGTACACAATCCTTTTAATTTACTCCATATTCAAATTTATGCTTTACCAATTGACATGCCAGGGAATATTTGATTGTATGTTATTACCTCTAGTTTTCGCCATTGAATTTCTAAGATATCTTTATTAAAACCGATATCTATATAATGATAAGCAAAAAAGTTTTATTAATGCTTATTTAGAATAAAAATAAAATATAATTTTTTACACACTAGGTAGTTTAAAAAAATTATCTGTTAAATGCATAGACAGTTCGCCAAATTATGGTCTTTGATGCGAATTAAAACATTGATTAGGACAGGAATATTCAATTTTTTCAATGGTAGACATATTATCTGGCAATCTGTTACAAAGCTAGTGACATAATAAAAAGTTTATACATCTTTTGTTCACAAAATTTGGCTGTTGTTGATTGACATATCTGCTTTCAATACTTAATGTGGACCGAGTTTCAAATTTCCAACCATAATCAACACAATTATTGGAAAAACAAGCACCAGGAAATCGTAACACATTACGCAGAGCTTCAATATCTGTTAGTCTGAGATTTTTTCCGTGAGTAGTGTGGTTTATGTTATTCAGTTTTAAGACACGTCGAATCAATGAAACCATTAATTGTTTTAAATCACAATCAGCATTAATTTCATCAACATATTTTTTACCTTGAAAAATAACATTCACCAGAGTTACCTCATGTAGTATTGGTTTTAAAAACATTAAGGAAAGCAAATTTGATTCRTCTTTAAGCATATCACTTACGGCCCTTCATGTGTAACATAAATGTTCTCTGTTTTRAGAAATTATGTTGAAATGAGTTTTTAATGGTAGCCTCTGACTCAATACTACCTTGACACAATCGTATCATGCCAACCACCTGGTARTAGATAGTTTGCCCTCTCTGCCGAGGACGAGTACCGATRGAGGGTATCCTGTCTGGTTGTTGCATTTATTCCTATTCGAAAATAATATGGGTGGTATTTTTGAGTCCCATGTATTGTGGTTACCGTCGGCGAGTAACGCGCGTACTTTTTTTTATTTTCTGGTTGGCCCTCAGGTGATATACCGGAGTTGTTCAGACCTCGGCTCCCCACCGCTCGATCGTGTCGCGCATGTCGTTTGCTACGAATTGGCGGCCGTTCTAGGCTCATACAGAGGTATCCAAAACGTGAAAAGAATTCTCGTTCAAGCGTTTCGGTTAATTTTTTAGTAGTGGCTGTTCCGAGGGGATATGGTTCGTTTCATCTACTAAACAYATCCGTGGCGACCAGTAAATATTGTTTTGCCCAACTCGTGCGTAGGTAGGAGACAATGAGGTCTATACTGACCACGGATTACTTCCCAGGGRTGGCGGGGTATTCTGGTGATTATTGGATCATCTGCGCGAGTGTCTAGTGGTTTGTTGCAAGTGCATATATGACTTGCCCAGTGTGCATTGAATTTGGATATATATTCATCAACAATAAATCTACCGTAGATTTTACGGGGATTTTAAGTAGGTCTTTTCCCAATCGAATCAACACATATTCCAATATACCTTTACCATATATTTTAGTGTATATGTTAATGGTTGATTTTAAGTTGATTATAGTTTTATTTCTCTACGAATAATATACTGCAGATATTCAATATTTATTTAACTCAATTTGCATTGATTGTAATTGTATAATATWTATAAGTATTCATCAACGATAAATCTACAGTATTATTATGTTGATTTAAAGTAAATAATGTCTTAGTTGAATCAACATGTATTCTACTATTTTTTCCGTAGTATTAATTAAACGTATATTAAACCAACGCGAAATCCATGAATAATCCACATTTATATGGAGCATGCACATCCACACATTTCCCAACAGGAACTTATTTATAGAATTCGTTAATGTCTGTTTGCTTTTAATGATAATTGGTAATAATCAAATAATTATGATAATGCGAAATATATTATAATAATATGTTCCGGCTTGCCGGACGTTATTGAATACCTACCTAATGAAAATTGTGTTCGTTTTATTTTTAATTACCTATAATACCTATAATATAATAATATCGAATAGTCTATTATACTTTGTATACTATATATGCATATACTCTTGTAGGCGTAGTGTAATTGTAATAAAAAAGTAAGTACCTACACAACATTATTATTATATTATATAATTAGTTTATATATTATAGTATTTATGTGTTTTGTGTTTGTTATGACTTCTAACCTTCTTATAAGTTACTTCGTACTTATAATAAGTTATTTTGTAATAATAAGTACCGTAAAATTGGGTGACTTCGGACATATGGGGTGACTCCGGACAAAACCATATTTTTGTAGTTTTCTTATCGTTTTGGATTACAAGTTTGATAAAAGTTGAAAATTGATACTCCACGTTAGTATCTATTATATCCTCCATAGAAAATAATATTTATTGATAACATGATATTATTATCATACCAAATGTTACGGAGGTAAATTGGGAGATGTAGATAAGAAAACGCTGCCTGGTGGTGTAACTTACTACTGTTGAAGACAGGATAAAATGTAATTATTATCGTGATAGGTAATAGGACTAATAGGCAACTGACTACTGAGCAACTCGAACTCATT